TGAGAGTTAAATTAAATTTTAATAAAGACAGAGACATGGTCTCACCATTAATATTCAAAAAAAAAAAAAAAAATAAAGTTGATTTCAAAAAATTATTGCTCTTATTAGAATGCAAATTGATTTTGGTTATACATATTGATCATATCAAAATTATTTTAAATCATATTGATTCTAATGTTAAGCTAGCATTTGTGCAGTTCTAAGGTTTTTCCCCTAGATTATTATAGTCAAGATTTAATAAAGTTAATATACTATTTTTGGAGGTTTTGCATTAAACATCTTCTTTCTTAAAGCCTAATAGTAACGAAATAAAGTAAGATTTTATATATAAATAACAACTGTGAATACAATTCTAATACCCACATTCTTGACATTTGAAAATTAGAAGAACTCATATATTTCTCAGCATAGTCACACAAGGTCTGTCAGGCACCAACTGCATCTATGCCACATAGCTTAAGTGCTTTATCAGGTAACCTTGCTAAATTTTTTACTGAAACTTTCTGTTTTTCAAATTCATGCAAGAAACTTTGATAGTAGAAATTAGTTGCTTCATTTTCGTTTATTTCTCTCAAAAATTCAGCCATCATTGGTAAAGTAGTCGAAAAAAATCTATTTGCTTGGGGTTGAAGAGAAATATATTGTGATTGTACTTGATATGGATTAAAAGGCGTTAAAAACGGTTAAAATACTGAAGATCTATAAGTCCAATTATTTTGTAGTGGCAGAATGAATGGTGCTTGTAGTAATAGAACTAACAGTGATTGTGATGAGGATAATGAAGCTAATGGTGCTTGAAATAGTGCTTGAAATGGTGATTGAAATGGTGCTTGAAATGGTACTTGAAATGGTGCTTGAAATAGTGCTTGTAATGACACCTGTAATGACGCTTGTAATGGTGTTGGTGATGATGATGCTTGTAACAGTAGTAATGCGATTTCTTGTAATGCTTGTAAAGACAATGAAGAGGAATGTAATTTTTTAGATGTCTTGGCATGAGAAAAAGTAGATGTGTTGGAGGTTCTTTAATCATGGCCAATCCTTTGTTCTACGTATGTGTATATATATGTAAATACTGCAGGAAATCGCATTTTGTATAGTAAACAATAGAATTTACCATGTCAGACGCCCATATTGAAAGCATTATAAAGGTAATTTCTACATATAAATCTTTATTGCTTTCTTTGTTTAGACAAGGCCGGTTATGTATATTGCAGTGATATTCTGTTCTAATTTCTAGCACATTCTCAGCAATTAATTTGTTATGTGAAGATAAAGAAGAAATACGTGAAACCTTATTGCTATTTTTGTAATTAACTATGAACTCTTTTTCTTCATTATTTGCATTCTATTATTTTTGTAATTTAGTTAATACAAATATATAAATATATATTAAAGTAGCACAGGTTTTTTTTGATTTTTAACAGATGCTCTACTTTGTTTAGAGCATCAGGAGTGCATCAAGTGTAACCTGTATTTGCATAGGGAGAACATCTTCCTGCGTTGCAAATACAAAGTAAAATTTTTAATTATACAATATAATTAGAAAATTTACTTTGTATTTGCAACGCAGAAAGATGCTCTCCTTATGCTCTAAATAAAATAGGGCAGCTGTTAAAAATTGAAAAAAAACCTGTGCTTATTACCTTTTTTTTTGTTTGAATAATTGTTATGTAAATTTCTATATTAATGTTTTTGGCAGCTAGTTTTAGACATTCGGCTTTAAACTTTATAAAATCCTGCGCATCAGCTAGTTGGGTCCCAGCGCCAGTTTCTCTTTGCATTTTAAATGCTATACTATAATCAGTTGGCAAGAGAGTATTATTTTTTATCAACATGGTGATTTGGTTATAAATTGATGAAAAAAATTCATCTATTGTTGACATGGATTCCTTAAACCATTTTGCTAGCAACGCTGTTTCTTCTGCAGTTTTGATAAATAATTTGTAGCTTATTTCAAATTCAAGATTGTCATCACTACTCAATACTTCGTCTTCACTAGCCATAAAAGACACAGATGGGAAAAATGGCGGGATTATTTCCTAAACAGAAAAAAAGTATTTATCATAAATGAACTTATATGTATAATAAAAAAAAAAAGAAAAACAAGAAACAAAAAAATACATTAGTTTCACTCATGATATCTGTTGTCATATCTGTTAGCATATCCGATTCCATATCCGTTACTTCATCAATTGCTTTATCCATTACCTCGTCTGCTACTTTATTAGTTGCTTTATCAGTTGCTTTGTTTACTAATTTTTTTTTAGTTTTGGAGTGATTCAATTTGAGCAGGATGTTGTGACATCGACTACAAAGAGAAAACTTAAATAACTTTTTTAAATTTATTTGATAATTAAAGTCGAAGACTCTTTTATGAATATATTCGAACTTTAGTGATTCCCAAGTAGGCTCAAATAAACATATATACGCTTGTTTGACATGAGCAGTTCTATTTTTTTTGGTTGGTACCAAAGATTTTTTACAGCTGCAAGTGATCTGATGCAAATCTGCTGCACAGTATAAACATTTATGGCAGCCAAAGCAAGTTCTATGATGATATTTGAGTTTGGTGTTTAATGCATCAGCCATAAAATACAGTATTGATTGATAATATGGAAAAAAGAAAAAATTTTATTATTTTTACAATTTCTTTTATATTTATGTTATATTTTAGATTCCCAATTTCTAAACCTCAGATCCTCAGTAACGAAAGTTGATGATGGATGGATCTTATTTTCACCTATTTTACTTATTTAACCGATATCACATAGGGTTAGGATTAGTGTTTTATTAGTTGTATATATATATTAATAATAAATTATCACCCATGTGATGTTGGTTAAATGAAAGCACAATAATTAGATAATTTGAATTCTATGAATATGTTAAATTTGAATAAAAAAAAAAAGAGATGGTTGTTAAGATATCTTTGCTAAAAAAAATTAAGTCTATCAAATAAAAATATTTTTAAACTTTGAGCAAACATATCTCGAAAACCACAAGATTTTTTTTTTTTATTTAATTTTACAAATTTGGAGAATTCAAAAAAAAAACACTGGATTTGACTTTGCATTTGTCAAGATATCTTCGCTCAAATTTTTTAAATTTATAAAGTAGAAGCTGCACAAAAATTTTCTAAAACTTGAATGAAGATATCTCGACAAATATCAATTCAATTTTGATGAATTTTTTTTTATTTGAATTCTACAAATATGTAGAATTCAAATAAAAAAAAAGTTTATTAAATTTTGCCTAGTGGTTGTCGAGAAATCTTCGCTCAAAGTTTAAAAAAATTCAATGAAATTTTTTTTCAAACTTTAAGCGAAGGTTTTTTGACAACCACTAGGCAAAATTTAATAAACTTTTTTTATTTGAATTCTACGAATATGTGGAATTCAAATAAAAAAAAGTTCATTAAATTCGGTTTGGTTGTTGTTGAGAAAATGAAGAAGGAGGAGGAAAAGGCAGGGAAGATAAAGGATCACTAAGAGGCTGGACCAAAGAACGAGCAGTACAATAAGGTATCCAGATATTGTGATAAATTTG